GTTACATGCTTTCTTTGCAGAGTGAGATATAACGTGCCTTAGATCTCTCCTGGGATTTCTGTTCTCATCTTCCCATTTGTCTCCTGGGACTGGTGGGCAGGGGACGCCCAACTGGAGGAGGAAGGAGCAGACGAGATTGTAGTAAATTTTTGATATTAAAATTACATAAAGGGAATAAATATTGAGGTCCACATTTTTGCATATTTGCGTCCAATTATCCCATGGCTACCTATTGAAGAGATTATAGATTGTACTTTCCCCATAGATTTATCTTAGCACATTTATTTTCAATTCATTGTACATGTGTGGGTCTATATCTGGGCTCTCTATTCTCTTCCACATGTATATAAGATATAGACATATTTGTAGACATCTATATATCTCCTTAATTTTAGTACCACGTTTTTGATTACTGAAGCATTTTTATGACTTAAAATCAGATAGTTTAAAGCTTTCAACTTTTTACTTATTTTCTAAGTGGCTCAAATAGAATAATCCTAGGTCCTTTGCATTTCCATGTAAATTTTACAATGAGTTTCTACATTTCTATAAAAAGGCTGCTGAGATTTTGATTGGAATTACATTCATGAACAGATTAATTTAGGGAGAATTGATATGTTAACAATATTGAATCTTGCAATCAATGAGTACATCCTCCCATTTTTTAAATCCTTTCTCTGAAAGCTGATTGTAGTTTTCAGTGTACAGGTTTTACATATGTTTCAACAAATTTATTTCTAAGTATTTCACACTAATTCTAGAGAAAGTTATTTTTTAAAAAAAATATTTTCAGTTTCTGATTATTCATTATGTATACATAGATATATAATTGATTTTTATGCAGACTATTGCCTTTAATGAAATTTTGTTAAATAGTAGTTTCAGTAGCTTCTTGAATATTTATTAGAATTTTCTACATGTTTGGTCATGTTATGCATGAAAAAGGTCAATTTTAGTTTTTGCTGCATAATTAGATGCCTTTCTTTTTCTTGCTTCATTGAATTGGTTAAATCTTACACTACAATACTGAAAAGGAATTATGAGAACAGAAATTCTCCCTTTGGTCTTGTTCATAGAGTGAAATTATTCAGCTTTTCACCACTAAATATGTTAGCTGTAGTATTTTCATTGTCTTTTGCTTTTTTTGTAGATTTCCTTTATTAGGGTGAGGAAGTAATCATCTTTTTCTAGTTTGCTGAGGGTTTTGCATTATTAAAAAAAATCAATGTCCAATCTTTTAATGTTTTTCTGTATCTATTGAGATCATCATATTGAAATGACCATGAACATAGTATTTATATGTTAGAATTAAATTGATTGTTTTTAAAATTCTACTTAGCATGATGGCACATGCCTATGAGCCCAGCTCCCCAGAAGACTAAGGCAAGAGGATCACAAGTTGGAGGCCAGCCTGGGCAACTTAGCAAGAACTTATCTGAATATAAAATAAAAACTGCTCAGTGGTAAATACTTTTCTAATATTCATAAGGCCCTAGGTTTAATTCATAATATCACAGCACATAAGGAGAACAAACACATTTCATCTCACTGAATCACTCCTTTGTGTGCGGCAGGGACTCAGAATACAGACTTACAAGACTTTCCTCCCCTAAAATCCTAGCCTGTCATTCTGCCTTTACTTTCTAAAAGTAGGAAAGCCCAGAGTTCTAACTTCTATGCCCTGCCCCAGCCCACATTGTGTTTTCCCAGCCAATGCCCCAAGGGACCTTGCCATCTGCCTTTGGTTGTCAGTTTCAGAGCACTTTTTAGTTTCCAAATCTTTATACACAGCATGTGGTACCCAACAAGAGTGGCCAACCCTGAATCTGGCCTGGTGTTCTAGTGTACACTGCTCATTGGAAGAGGTGAAAAAGTGGAGTGAGCAGATGATAGTGACCCATCCCTGGGTAGTGAGGAGACCCTTTCCTGACCTTGACCCAAGTCACACTGAATGTCCTCCCTGGGGCAGTGCCCTGCAGACTGGAAATCCCACAGCCAAACATGGCTCATAAAAGGTCTCTGGGAGTGCAGAGACCCCAGAGTGGACCTGAAATTGGCACAGCTGCAAGTTCCTGTTCCTGTGATTCAGAGGTCAGAATCCAGGCTAACAGTAATGAGACCTGAGTTAGAGGCTGTGTGGAAGGTGGCAGGTGAGTGCTTTTATGACCAGGCCCAGGAGTGGTAGGGCACCAAGAGAGGCAAGTTTTGCAAATCCCAGGCTGTCACAGGAACCAGAAACTGAAAAGACAAAAAAAGATAACCCTAGAAGTTGGTGCCACACTGTGTTTACAGAAATAGCTCCTTGGGCAATCACAGCTGTCAGTGGTCCAGCTGGACCTTGATCAGGGCTGGTCTCAGAAAAGGGCAGTGTAATTCCAACAAGACAAAGACACTGCACAGACTCCTGTCTTCTCTGCTTGCCTCTTGCCTGCCCCTGCTGGTCCTGGCCTTCACCCTGGTGAGTGTTCATGCTCCAACACCACTCCCAACTATTGGCCCTATTTTCTCACCCCTCCTCTCTCCTCAGAGAGTCACAGCATGAATTCAGCCTTACCTCTTCTCTGTGCTTTTAAAATCTCAAGTATCTAGTTCAAAATCCCAGCACTCATTATTCATCTGAGGCTTTTCCCTAATGTGCCCTGAATTGATGGAGCTCTTGTTTTTCCTGAGCATGCTTCCAGTGCTTAGAATCAGGATGCCAGGCACCTCTCCTTCAGAGAACAGGCAGTCTTGTGGGTTCAACAAAGGATGAGAGGAGGAATTACAATAAGGAGTTATGAATCAGGGTTGGGGGAGGTGGGACTCCATAATAGGACATCAGAGGCCTCCTAGTGGAAAGCTTAGGAGGGAAGAGTGAGTGATTGGAGCCTAGTGACAGTGGGGAGTCTTTATAATTGGATAAGAGTGTTTGACAGGGCTCAGAGGTGACTGGGGCATCAGGGAGGATAGAGATGGAGGCTGTGAGAGCTGGGAGGCTGGAACAAAGAATGGGATCAGGCAGATGGGAAGCCATTTAGAAAGGGCTTTTTGGAGCTTATCCCCAAGGCTACTGGAGACTTCGGGGAGGGGTCATAGGATCAAAATAATACTTCCCTCTCACGATGCTACATATCTGTCCATCTGGCATCCTGATTGAGAAGACCATGAGGCTCCCCAGCCAACTTAATTTGCATCTTAGTGAGCAAGGGCTGACTGCAATGGAGAGTACAGCAGCAGGGAGGTCAGAGACTCTGCAGAAGAGCCAGGTGGTTTGGAATAGGCACAGGGTCACAGGACCTGGGAAAGTGGAGAGGGGTAGAAAAATTTTGAAGGGGTCTAAAGGCAGGTCTAGAAAATGTATTTGGGGGTACTTGAGAGAAATAAGAAGGAGTCAAGAATGTTTCCCAGGGTCCAAGATCAGCCACTGGTGAGAGACAGTCTCACTGCATTGAGGTGCCCGCTGGTGTTTTCAGTCCACCTCCTCTGGCTTCACCTACCACCTCCCTGCTGTATCTTTAACCTGTCACCTTCTATCCTTTCTGCATGCCTTTCTGCTCTTCCTTGCCTTGCCAGTGTGCTGTTCTACAGGGACCGTTCCCTTCCTCACGTGCAGAATCTACTCCCATGGTTTTTGAAGGCACTAATATAGTTTCTCAGTTTGCAAGACAAATGAAAACACAACAGAGACACCATTAAGCTCCATTTCATGCTATTTCTCTTTCTTCTTTGCCCTCAGATGCTGCATCATGGATTCTGTTTCTGGCCAATGGCACCTTTTCCATCCAGGTTTTGAAGATGCTGTGTCAAGACAAATCTTCACAAAACATCATTGGTTTTTCTTTTTTTCCCTCCCCTGAGCATCTTTTCTGCCCTGGCCATGGTCCTCCTGGGGGTAAAGGTGAACACCAAGATGCAGATGGCTCAGGTAAGCTCACCTGTCACCCAGGAGGAGGGACTGGTCTGCAAGGCTTGACTTCTATCCCCTCCTTCATTGTTTCCACAATTGTTGAGGAAGGAGGGGTGAGCCTGGACCATTTCAGGGAGGTGGGGTTGCAGGAGTAAGGAAGGTGAGGGTTCTCCTCCAATGAGATTTTGTGTGTGTGTGTTGTATGTGTGTGTGTGTGTGTGTGTGTGTGTGTGTG